ACCCAACAAAGCTCTCCATCTTACCCACCTCGGAAGAGATGCCGAGCTCAACCGGATGGAGAAGAGTAATACGCTACTTACATCTTTGAAATATTAAAAGGCATAGAGCCTAAATTAGCCAAAGATCCATATCACACGGTCGATTCGGTTAAACTCCGAACTCGCGAGGACATGACCAGTTCCTAACTAAGACATCCCTAGACATAAACCCATCATTACAAGCGAAGTCGATCTCAATTCGATCATACAAAAGCACGGACTTGAACACCAAGCCCATCTTCGTTACGATAAGCGTCGGCCGACCAACATTAGTAACATCGCCACAAAGAGCAGCTAATAAATGCTGAAAGTCACCTCCCGCGATCATACATGGCAACGAAGGATTAGACTCTAAATTGTCACTTAGTTCAAAGCACTCAGAGAAACCCAGCTCAGAAACGAAATGGACCGGGACAAGTATGAGAAGAAACAATTGCAAGAAAGACATTCAAGGCTGGAAGAAGCCGAAGTCATGGCGAGGACGCCACTTCGGCTCTCGCCTTGCTAGGAAATAAGCCGAGCCAAATAGGTCAGCCGGGCTGGTCTGTTCGAGGCAGCCCAAACAGGACTAAAAGACAAAAATGTTTCGAAATGCCTAAGTTAAAAAGCAAAAACCGAAATGTCATTCAAAAGGCCCAACGGACCGAGTAACATAAAATTTAAGTGTTCAAAAGCCCGAAGGAGGGTAGAAACAAAGTCTAAGGCCCCCATGGGCAATTTAAAAAAAAAGTAATAAAGAGTAATTTACAAAAATAGGAGAAAGGATCAAAGGGGCGGGGGCAGCTCCGGATGGCCATGTCCTCACGGTTGATGGACTTTACGGAGACCTCGGGCAGGTCCAGCACCCCGATCAAGAAATAAAAAATGGCCGCATCCACCAAGGCTTGCTTTACAGCCGGGTGTTCCGCAGTGAACCTCTCCATTTCTCTTGAAATTGTAATCTTGCCCGCGGAGAGATCCTCTAGGAGCTGGAAGTTTGCAATCCGCTCCTGCAAGTGAATCTCCGCCGTGATCTCCGCCTCCTTCCTCCTGAACTTCTCCTTCACGCCTTCTAGCACCTCCCCGTACTTAGCAGCCATCTCCATACCCGCCTCCCTCACCGCGGTAGCCACAACCTCTTCTTTTGTTGCAGCAACCCTACGCACCTCCCGTTTGAGGAAGTTAACTAGGTCATTGGCCGCCACCAGGTGCATCATGAAGTTTAGCTCTGCCCTTCTGCCCACTTCAATATGGCGCCGAACCCTCTGCTGGTGGAGGAACTTCTCAGATGCTCCTGGAGGATCTTGAGCCCCCGGGTAAAGCGCCGCCACCATCCATAGAGGAGCTCGTCTCCTCGGAAGAACTTATCGCTGGATCGACAAGAATTGTCCGCGGTCTCCTGGCTAAAGTCGTGGAATCGTCACCGCCGCTAGGGTTTGGAGTCGCGGCCCTCTCCGCGGCTGGTACCCTCTTCCTCCTCTTCCGACGGGGTGGTCGAAGAGGAGCCATCGTCATCAGCGGCGGGAGGAATCACCATTATAGCCGGCCTTGTGGGGGTCCAGACCAACACAATAGAATTTGTTAGGGTTTTTAGAGGAGATCTCTGAGCTAGAACCACAAGAGCAAGAACAAAGATGGAAAATTACTGTAAAGAAAAACTTTATTGATTTTTGCAGAGTGTTCTTATGAAAAGTTTTAGGTCGGCTAGGCCAACTCCTCAAGAGATAAGGAAGATTTCCTAATTTCTAGGGATTTCATATTGTTGAAGTCGGTTCTGATTGCAGGCTCTCTCTTCATGGGCTTTGAGCTCGTCATGTATCTCTTTGAAGCTTAACCTTGCCGACTTTGTGTCTTGGGCCTTGAACTTCTTGAGCTTGTCACTTCGTCCTCGCTGTTCTTGGGCTTGCCATCTCACCAGCTTGCCATAAACTCTTAATTTGGCCTAACTCGTCTTTATGCTAAATGTGCCTAGCTTGGCTTATAGCAAAGCAAGTCCTTGGCGAGCTCTCTATTTCAACTCGTTCACCTAGCCAACTCGCCAAATGGCTTATTTCATCTTAGTCAGCTCGCCAGTGCGACCTGTTGACTTAGTCAGCTCGCCACTAAAACTATTTTCTCAGTCAGCTCGCCACTAAAACTGTTGACTTAGTCAGCTCACCACTAAAAGTGTTGGCTCAGTCAGCTCGCCACTAAAACTGTCGACTTGGTCAGCTCGCCACTAAAACTGTTCACTTAGTCAGCTCGATACTAAACTGTTGACTTAGTCAGTCCGCCAGAAAAATGATACTTAGTTATTTTCTTGATGATTTCAACTGAGGAGAGGTTTGACCCCAACATGCCTTTTGACCGGCAGCCCCGAGGTTCGGGCGGAGCTTGAAGGCCCATATAGGCGGCCCGCGAGCGAGTCCGCTGGCTGATTGAGGGAGCAGCCGCTGGAGGTCTGAAAGAAATCTTGGGTAGGGCCGCCGCTCGAGCAGGGACAGGGGCGGCCGGGGCGTTAGCCGGTTCGGCCAGAGTAGTGCGCTGCCGAGCATGCCGGCGATAGGCCATATTGTCCCGAAGGGGTGTGAAGGACTCCCAATCGGTGTTGCCCCTCCGGAGAAGCGATAGCCTGGAGGATGTTGCGACCGTGAGAGTGGCCGAAGAAGTGTTCTTTGCGCAAGTAGTGTCGATTAGATTAGAAGACATCGACGAGGGAGTCAAAATTTGTTAAAAGAAAAGGGGAAGTTAACACTTACTAATATTGGAGCAGAATCGGGTCGAAACACGGCGAAAGGCGTCTAGCAACGATACTGTCTCCGGCGAGACCCGGAAGAAGAAAAATTTCCTCTGCCAGTTGGCATCCCGGTGCTAGTACTTGCTGGGAATGACGACGATCCCTCGTCTTTCCCTAGGAGTGAGGTAGAAGGAGCCCCTCAGCGAGGAGTTGCTCCTAGCAACGTAGAAGTCAAAGAACTGGCTGTGGCTGAGGCCCATCTCATCCTCGTAGGAACGGACATACGTCCCGATGACATGACGGATGAAGCTTGGGACCATTTGAGAGAAGACCAGCCCGAGGAACTTGAGTATGTTGAGCAGAAAGAGGGGGATGGGGAAAGTCAGCCCGATGGTCTGGAAATAGCTGAGATGGGCGCAGCACCAACCTTCTTCGACCGATTCTGGCGATTCCCACCCCATCGGGAGGCGAAATTCAATCGAAGGGCGGGCCGCCAGAGTCTCTCGGAGATCGAGGAGGTCTTGGGGCGTGGTCAGAAACAGTTCGTAAGGGCCGAACTGAATATCAGAACTGGAAGAAGACATGATTTCGGGTGAGAGTTTAGGCAGGAAACGATTTCTGTGAAGACGTGAAAGAGTAGCAGAGTTTCGAAGATGAAGGCAAGGATGAGAATGAGATCGGATATGAAATTAGGGTTAAAACCAGTTTATTTCTGAGAAGAGGAAGCGGTTATTAGTGGTAGGGTCCACGGTAAAAAACCGAATCGACACCGATGACGTCACAAATACTAGTCATTTTTTTTATGCGGTTCTGATCTTTCACCTTCCCGCATCCCTAACCGTCAGATCGGGATCGTACGGTCCAGACGATTTGTGAAAATCGCGCTTCAGCGGCGCGCCGTAATATTGAGTAAACGCCCATCGAGTATTATTACTTAAATACTTAATGGGCTGGGGGCAACTGTTGGGGCTGGATTCGTCACCGAATCCGGTCCACATAAAAGCCCAGGTCTAAACTTGTGTTCGCGATATGTTGACCAGAATCGATGGCCCAAACCTGAAGAGTTAGATGCTGTTTGTCTTAAGGCCCAGGTCAGCCCCGAAAGGGCCGAGTCAACAGGTGTGGAAATAACGAGCTTAGGATGAGCTAGGAACGAGTCAACAGAGCGGTTATCTCAGTCGTAGGAGCGAGATTTGCGGGAAATATGCCGAGATCGTGCCCGAGATACGTGGAACCGTCCTAAGCACGTGAAACTGGATCGAGGAGCTGAATGGAGCTATAAATAGATGAAGTCCGAGGAGATATCGCCAACTTTTCACACACGCGAGAGCTAAACACTACATTTCAGGTTGTAATACGTCTCAGACGAGATCTTATTGTATATTCGATTCGGATCAATATAAATCCAGCTCCACTCTACTCTTTTTTTAATCGTTGAGTTTATAGATATTTCTTAGGACTAAAGTTTCTTCTCCGAATTCACATACAAATATTCAGTGCAAAATTCAGGGACCACAGTTATGAAACAGAGGGAGTATTATTTCGCTGTACTATCGCCGCATATTATTAGTTTCGCCGAATTTTGTAATAATATGATGGAATCTTTCAATATACTAGCGAACACAAACTCTACTATTTTTCCTCTTTATTTTCGCAATGCATGTGCAAGATTTTTCTATTTTTGGATAAAACATTATACAAGTAGATTTAGATAACTTTGATTTAACTAATAATAAAAAAAAATTCCAAACACTTTTCTATAGAATCCGAATACATAAGTAAAAACCATAAATTATTATTTAAAATACAAATAAGACATAAAATAAATTAACACCATATCATTACTTTTGTATGGTTAATACCATATCATTATTTTTGTATGGCTACATTATTTGGCATACTATTTTCTTAGAACAAATCTTGTCGACCTTCCTCCACAATTTATCAATATCAATTCCTTCTCCCGTTATGGTTAGTTCGTCATTTTCACTATTATATAAACAAGTATGAACTCTTTACAAAAAAAAGATTCATTTTTACAAATGTTAAAGGGGAGAATTTGCCAAAAATACAACATAAAATTATAATTTAAAAAGTAGTCCAAAATCTAAATCCAATGGTTTACAATTTGCCACATACCCTATTTTTCCTAA